CAGCACCAGGCCCAGAGACGGTACCCAGCGCATGTCTGTTGAAATGACCATGGAAGGTGACTGACAGGCTGAAAGCAAGAGGCCAAATGGCTGTAATATACACCCTATAACTATCTCCTTTGTCTCTGTCCCCAAAAGAGCCCCAAGAAAAATCCACCTGGGGTGAGGCTGGCGCCACCCTTTCTCATGCTAGGCTTATTCTGCCATCTAGTGGCAGGCAGAAGAAGATGGAAGGGACAGCACCTTGGGTGGTGGGTGGTTAGTAAGTGATGAAGGGACTGTCAGGGGGGCCAGGGCTCAGGAGACAGGTCAGGGGTCACCAAGAGCAGTCTAGGGGGCCCCTCAGAACTTAGGAGCAACATGCTGGAGGCCAGGGCAGGAACTACTCTCAAGAATAAGTAACAGCTGTTTCATGAGCACTTCCTGTGTGAAAGACGGTGCCAAGGGCCTTTCCTCTTTCTTCCTCCCAGCAATCCTGGTGGGAATGGGGAAACCAAAGCCCAGGGGTCAAATAACCTGGCCAAGTTCAACTAGTCTGTGGCAGAGATAATGAAATCCAGCATTACCTGACTTCATAGCCCAGGTTTCTAGAGAAAGTTCTAGAATGATGGAGATAAATCTCCTTCCATGTCCCTTCCATTCCACCACCACCACTAACCCACCCCCCCACTCTCAAATCACAGAGGATGGCTTCATTCAATGGGGTGCACAGCTCGACTTCAGTTCCTCTCCTTCAGTTCCTCTCTTGAGACCCCAGGTTTCTAACCAAGGGGAAGCTTTGCTCTCCCTTGTCCTGGAGGTTACAGTGCGGGGGGCGGAGGGCAGGTAGAGGAGTGGTGGTGCAATCCCTGTCCACTGTCAACAAATATCAAACTCTCTTGGACTAACTTCTGAAGTTCTTTTTACCTCCTTGGTTGTGTAAGAGCGAGGTCTCTAAAATGCACTGGGTCACTTCAGATCAGCCACTGTAATGTTTTATTCTAAATCCTGAAAGGACTTCTCAGGCTTTCTAGGAACAAAGGTTGAAGTTAGCCCAGGGCTACTCCACCCTTGTTCTGGACAGAAATAATCAACTGCCACCCCAGAAAACACACAACTGGACCAAGAGACCCTCTGTCTATAGCCCGTGTCCATTTTGGAACCCTGAAGTTTATCTAGAAAATAGCAGCCATTCTTCCTGTTGGATTTTTTTTATGATTTAAAATATAAAAAATTATTTATTTTCATATGACAGTAGAGTATATTTTGAATTATATATACATAGAAGAATTATAACTTATTCCAATTAGAATCCCATTATTGTGGTTGTACAAGATGTGGAGTTACATTGATCATATATGAGGATAGGAAAGATGTATCTGATTCATTCTACTATCTTTCCTATTATCATCCCCTTGGTCTAATCCAATAAACTTCTAATCTTTCCCTACCTTCTGTGGGTTAGTATCCACTTATCAGAGAGAACATTCTGCCTTTTGGGGGGCGTGGGGTTTGTGTGTATGACTGGCTTATTTCACTTAGCAAGATATTCTCAAGTTCTATTCCTTTACTGGCAAATAATTTTATTCTTCTTTATGGCTGAGTAATATTCCATTGTGTATATAGACCACATTTTCTTTATCCATCCATCTGTTGAAGGGCATCTAGATTGGTTACATAGCTTGGCTATTGTGAATTGAGCTTCTATAAACATTGATGTGGTTGCATCACTGTAAAATGCTGATTTAAAGTCCTTTGGGTATAAACCGAGGAGTGGGGTAACAGAGTCAAATGGTGGTTCCATTTCCAATTTTCTAAGGAATCTCCGTACTGTTTTTCAGAGTGGTTGCACCAATTTGCAGTCCCACCAGCAATGTATAAATGAACCTCTTTCTGGACATACTCACAAACATTTATTGTTACTTGTATTCTTGATAATTGCCATTCTGTCTGGAATGAGATAGAATCTCAGTGTAGTTTTAATTTGCATTTCTCTAATTGCTAGAAATGTCGAACATTTTTTATATATTTTTTGACCATTCATATTTCTTCTGTGAAGTGCCTGTTCAGTTCCTTAGCCCATTTATTGATTGGGTTATTTGTTTTTGGGGTGTTAAGTTTTTGAGTTCTTTGTATATCTTGTGGATTAATGCTCTAAGGTGCTGGTGGTAAATATGTTCTCCCATTCTGTAGGCTCTCTGTTCATGTTCTTGATTGTTTCCTTCACTATAAAACTTTTTAGTTTGTTACTGTCCCATTTATTGATTTTTTATTTTATTTCTTGTGCTTTAGATGACTTATTGAGGAAGCTGGTTCCTAAGCTGACATGATGGAGATTTGGGAATACTTTTTCTTCTAGTAGGCACAGGATCTCTGGTGTAATGCCTAGGTCCTCGATTCACTTTGAGTTGATTTTTGTGCAGGGTGAGAGATAGGGGTCTACTTTCATTTTGCTATATATGGATTTCCAGTTTTCTCAGCACAATTTGTTGAAGAGGCTATCTCTTCTCCAATGTATGTTTTTGGCTCCTTTGTCTAGTATAAGATACTTGTATTTATGTGGGTATGACTCTGTGTCTTCTAATTTGTCCATTCATCTTCATGTCTGTTTTTGTGCCAATGCCATGCTGTGTTTGTTACTATAGCTCTGCAGTCTAATTTAAGATCTGGTATTGTGATGCCTCTTGCATCAATTTTATAAGTATTGCTTTGGCTATTCTGGGCCTCTTATTTTTCCAAGTGAATTTCACGACTGCTTTTTCTATTTCTATAAAGAATATCATTGGACTTTTAATAGGAATTGAATTAAATGTGTATAGTGCTTTTGGTAGTATGGCCATTTTGACAATATTAATTCTGCCTATCCAAGAACATGGGAGATATTTCCATCTTCTAAGGTGTTCTTCAATTTCTTTCTTTAGTGTTCTGTAGTTTTCATTGTAGAGGTCTTTCACCTCTTTTGTTAGATTGATTCCCAAATATTTTATTTTTTCGAATGGGATAGTTATTGTGAGTGGGATAGTTTTCCTGATTTCTCTTTCAGCTCATTTGTCATTGGTATATAAGAATGCAAATGATATATGGGTGTTAGTTTTACATCCCACTACTTTGCTGAATTGATTTATGAGTTCTAGAAGCTTTCTGGTGGAGTTTTTTGGGTCTTCTAAATATAGAATCATGTCATTGGTAAATAGGGATAGTCTGAGCTCTTCTTTTTCTATTTGTATCCCTTTAGTTACTTTCTTTTGTCTAATTGCTCTAGCTAGGGTTTCCAAGACTATGTTGAATAAGGTGGTGAAAGAGAGAATCCCTGTCTTATTCCAATTTTTAGAGGGAATGCTTTCAGTTTTTCTTTATTTAGAATGATGTTGGCCTTGGGTTCAGCATGTATAGCTTTTACAATGTTTAGGTGTATTCCTACTATCTCTAGTTTTTCTAGTGTTTTGAGCATAAATGGATGCTGAATTTTGTCAAATGCTTTTTCTACATCTATTGAGATAATTATGTGATTCTTGTCCTTAAATCTATTGATGTGATGAATTATATTTATTGATATCCATATATTGAACCAGCCTTGCATTCCTGGTATGAACCCTACTTGATCATGATGCACTATCTTTTTAATATGTTTTTGTATGTGATTTGCCAATGTTTTATTAAGAATTTTTGCATCTATGTTCATCAGGGATATTGGTCTAAATTCTTTTCCTTGATATGTCTTCATCTTTGGGTATCAAGGTATTAGCTTTATAGAATGAGTTTGGAAGGGTTCCCTCCTTTTCTATTTCATAGAATAATTTGAGGACTATTGGTATATGTTATTCTTTGATGATCTTGTAGAATTCAGCTGAGAAGCCATCTGGTCCTGAAACCACCTATATTTAGTTTAAAGGAATTTTTGTTTTGTTTTGTACCAGGGGTTGAACTCAAGGGCACTCAACCAATAAGCCATATCCCTAGCCCTAGTTTGTATTTTATTTAGATACAGAATCTCACTGAATTACTTAGAACCTCACTTTTGGTGAGGCTGGCTTTGAACTTGCAATCCTCCTGTCTCAGCCTCCCAAGCCGTTGGGATTACAGGTGTGCATCACCACACCCAGCAAGGGTTTTTCTTTATCTTTTCTTTTTAGCAATTTATCCAGGCCCATTTTCTAGGGCTGAGCATGAAAGGTTGCATTGAAAAGGACAGTTGTCCTCAAATGTACTTTGTGATTTTGCCCCAATAATAGAAAATTGTCTACATAACATCAACATAATTTATTCAACAAACACCGTTTAATGCCTTAAAAAAAAAAAAACTGTTTGGCACCACAAAGACTATCTCCAAAGTCAGATCCCAGGCCATGATATCCTCTCATACACGCACCACCGCTCAGTCCTTACTCAGTTGCAATGTCTGCCTCAGGATAGTGGTCCCCTTGACTTCCAGAAGTGGATAATCCCTAGGCTTCAAAGTAACTGTTGCAAATTCTTACCACCCCTCTAACCTATGTGCCTGTTTATTTCTCTTTTCTTGTCATTATATGGTCAATTAACTTATTCATTCATTTAGTCAATCAATATTTATTAGTCACCTATTACATAGAAGGCACTGGGATAAAGAGGAATACAAATCACTCATAGCCAGGAAGAAGACTAGCAATTACAATACGGCGTAGAAAATGTTAATCCAGTGATACACAAAGGTACTCCAGGAGCCCTTCTGTCACATCATCTTTCCACTTCCATGCCCTTCCTAGGCCTTGAGTCCAGCTTCCTGCCCTTCACCCACTGCAGATCCTCTGCATTTCATTTGCAGTAAATTCATTTGCAGGGTTCCTCTAGCTCTGGCATGACACAAACCCAGCCATGAACTGGGAAGGAACCACAGCATCCTTGGCAAGTAGACAACACCAATAAGAAAACACAGAGGCTGGGAGAGAAGTCCGCAAACATCCCACCAGTTCTGGAGGTTTAAAAACAAACTGTTGTGGGATGGATAAATGAAGGATAGATGAATGAATAGACAAACAATTGAGTGATGATGCAATAGAGGCTTTAATGAGTGAATCAGAGAATAAACTCCCAACCCTGAAGCAACACTGAATTTCAGTTTCCAAAGCTTGTGCTTGTTCATGAAACACCATGTTCCCCAGAAGACTCTCTACAAAGATGTTGGTTTCAAAATTCAAGTTACTTCAAAGTTCACAGAAAATTTTGTGATACACTTGAGAAGGTGGAGCCACCTAGGGGAATTTCAGAACTGACCCTTGAGATCACTCTTCCTAGGGGAAAGCTGAGTGGCCTCCCATTCATGATGCTCCAAGTTCATCAGGCCAGAGCTTTTTGAGGTGACTTGGTTGTTGGAAAGAGAAAGCTACAGAAGGTGATATGGGGGCAGGAGGGATAGTTCAGTGGTAGAATGCATGCTGAGCATGCACAAGGAACTGGGTTCCATTCCCAGTGGGAAGGAAGAAAGAAAGTGCTTTCATTTAACCAAATAGTTGGACCACCTTAATCACAAGCTGTAAAATTTTATGTGAATCCAATACTGTGCCAAATCACTAAAGCAATGTTTCCTACTAAAAAGAGGATTAAAGGGGTCTGCAAATAACTGCATTCTAACATATCTGTTCAATAAATGTGGATGTTGTGCTACAGATAGGAACAGGATTACAGAGGCTGTGAGGTCGAAGCCTGTCTGAACAGCTGATTTTTCTATAAGTCTTTAAGGGCTCCTAGGTTCTCCGAGATAAACTGGCTGAAGCTTCTGACTTTGGGATTTAGACGGTGGGTGAGTTTGACATCACGGTCTGGCTTCATTTGATAAAAGCGACACATATCAGCCAATTCCTTTGCTGCAGGGAATCCCAACTTTTCATAAGCTTCCGGGGTGATCTTTTAAGAACAAGTAAAAAAGGAGAAAATGTTATAACCCATTTAAAGTAAGATAAAAAGATGATATTCACCGTAATGATGATCTAAGTCCACAATTTTTTAGCTCAACTCCAAAATCCAAGAAACTCAAATGTGTTTCACATGTAATTAGGCAAGAAACTGACTTTGCTGAACTAATTTAGTGACAAATCTGATCTGAACTATGTAAAAACTATTTATAGTCTTTAGTTATCCCATTTAGTTGAAATATTCCAATACTTTACCACAGTGATACTGGTATATTTGATTACAATTTCCTGCCCCAGCCCCTGCTGGTGATATTACATGATGTATGTAGACCATAACCCATATAAAAGCTGAAGGATTCTGAAAGCCACGTTGTTTTAGGACCCAAGTACCTTGGATAAGGTGCTAGATATGTATACCACCCTTCACTTGAGTGGCATTTCATAGTGCTTTTGTCTGAATTTCCTCATAGGATTCCTCAGCTGGTCTCTGGTATACTCCACCCACCTGGGACTCCGTGTAAAAGTCAAGGTCCCTAATGCTGAACCTGCTTTCTCCTTAAAGATGGCTGATGTCCCATTCATCTTTTCTCCATTCTTGGTTAGACATTTGCATTTTTCCTTCAATCATCATAGCCTCTGCCAGAACCACACAGGCCTGAATAGAAGTAGAGCCCATCCTATACCTACTGAACTGCCTTCAGTGAAATTCATTTCTCCAATCCTTTCTGACACTAACTAGATCAATAATTGTTCCCACTGAATAAGCAAAGCTCATTTCTAACTATCTGATCCAGTATAATCTGTCTTTAGACTCCAGAGATGAACTTTGACCTTACAATTGCACTTGGCCTTTAAAAAAAAATTGACAAGCCTGGCGCACACCCATAATCCCAGCAACTCAGGAGTTTGAGGCAGGAAGATCGCAAGTTTGAGGCCAGCCTCAGCAACACAGTGAGGCCCTGAGCAAATTAGCAAAACCTTGTCTCAAAATATAAATTAAAGAAAAAATTTAAAGAACTGGGAATATAACTCAAGCATGCCTGGATTCAATCTCCAGTACCAAATAATAAAATTAAATGAAAAAAATTTTAAATGTGACAGACATAACAACTTATGTAAAACCATGATTTTCACATGCCTCTTACAATAATGAAAATTCAAGAACAACCTATATGTCCAGCAATAAAAGAATAGTAGAATAAATTATGGTATATCTACTCTAAGAATATTAAAATTTGTTTTGAAGGAATTTAGCAAAATAGAAAAATGTTCTTAATTTAATGTCAAGTTCAAAGGCCAGATACAAAATGGCACACTTAATGTTATTTTAATTTTATTAAGTATATGTGCATATACTTATTATATATACTGGAAAAGATAGAAAGAAAATCAACCAAATCTGAATAGTAACTATCTCTGAGAAATTTAACTGTGTGCGATTTTTATATTCTTTTTCATAATTTCCGGAGTTTTTTTACAATAAGAATTCATTATTTTAGAAATCAGAAAAAAACTAAAAACTTTGAAAAAGAAGGCTCTATGTAAGAAACATGGGAGATGGCTTAAAATCTGTCACCTCAAGTCATTTTCTTCTGCTGTAACTCTGACGACTAACATGCCTCAATAAAATAAGGAATTTTTTACTGTAGATTTTTGAAGAATCTTTTGAGATTTTTTTCTGTTATGTCTCACTTTGTAAGACAACCATGTTTCCTCTGGGGATTAGATAGTTTCAGCCAATCCAGAACTTCTGGTAGGAGTTTGGTCTGGAGCCTGCATTCACCAAAACACCTCAACAGCCTCCTTTGGCCAGACTTGAGTGGGTGGAGGGGCTGGGACAGGTTGTGTAGTGGTGTCAGACAAGGAAGACTGGATCGCCACCTTGTGGCCACATGTACCTTCCCCAGAAAAATGATAATGTCCAAGCATTTTCCCAGTCCACACATAGATGGTGTTGTCTTCAAGTGAGACTAGTTACTAATAACAGCATTAACCACTCCATAGAACTCTGTGCCTCTACTGCCCTAGAACTTTTGGTGCCAGAGAAGCATTAGCTGAATTAGGAAACAACATAATGTTCCAAGAATAGAATGCCCACACTCCTTCCCCTTTACTTCTCCCCCCTCACCCCCCTGTGGTGCTGGGGATTGAACCCAGGGCCTTATGCAGGCTAAGCAAGCACTCTACCAACTGAGCTATATCCCCAGCCCACTTTCCTTCTTTCTTAAAAAGTTCAAATCCCACAAGACAAAATGAATATAAGACTTAAATGCAAATGTTCCAGGAGAGGGATCACCAAGAAGACAATGTACACTCAGCGACAAGAGACTGAGCAGACTTTCTGTGAGTCCATGGTTGAGTGAGTGACCTTCATGAGTTTGGGGATAACTTTTCTCTAGGAAATTTTATATGGTTTCAATGAAATACTCAGATGTTATTTTGTGGCTAGATTGACACCTACAATATTTTTTACCAGTCTCAGTCTCTTCAAACCCCAATACCTGAGGCTGAATTGGGAATCTAGACATCCCCTCAAGATTCACTGGACCAAGAGCTGCTTATGTAAACAAGAACCAAGCTTCCACCCCTAACTTCAGGAAGCATCCTAGAATAGGGATCCACACCCTTTTTGTTAAGGGCTAGATATAAATAATTTAAGTTTTGTGGGCCATATGGTCTCAGTGTATCATCAAAACAGCTCATTCTTTCTCCTCTTATCAACAACCTGCTTGGGGAAATAGCTGTAGTGCTCAATATCACCAATCCTTTTCACTTGGCTATAAAAGATCTGTCCTCTCCATATAACAATCCTTCCTCTATGATTTATAGCACCTTAGTTATTGAGGGTTTACTAAGCATCATAGCCAGTGTCAAGCACATGCCATAACATCTCAGTTCATCCTCACAACAATCCACAATGGAGGTATAATAATATTTTTTAAACACCCAGAAACTGAGACTGAGAGAGGGTAAGGTGCAGAGATTCCACACACAGACACGCAGAGTTAGAACACGTCAATTTCCCCAACAGCCACTGGCTTCTTGACCGTTATTGCAGAATTTAACATGTCAGCCCTATTGCTACCCTCTACCTGTACAAAATCTTGTCCTCCTCAAGGACCTCTTTTGAAGCCCCCTTCTCTCCTGAAGTCTTCTCCTACTGTCCTCTGTCCAGATAGTCTGGACAACACAATTAAGCACCCGTGTTACGCTTTGAGATGCTCACGGTGACTTTCTTTATGTGCATCAACATTTTTAGCCTGGTACATAATAAGTTCTTGATACAAACCTACTACATGTCAAACACCAAGGTAGGTCCTAAATATATCCTGATTTCACAAGAGCACTTTAAGGTAGACACTTGACTTCAAAAAATGAGGAAACTGAGGCTTAGCGGGGGACTAAGAGCCTTGTCCCCATCAGCCTTTTCTGATGCATTTAGCAGTGAGAGCTGAGGAGAGGAGTCAGGATGGTGTGTGAGAGAAAATTTGTACCTCAGTCTTCAGATTCTAAGTTCCTTCCACCCAAAAGTAATTTTACTTTAACAAGCTGATTAATCTTGAGTCAAAGAAATAAAGCCATTATGGGAAGGATTCAACCACATTAATCAATGAAGATAGGTTCATGTGATCACAGTCCTCTTCAATTTCTTAAACCCCACCTAAAGCCACTGAAAGTCTAGTGAATTTGTGAGTTAATAGTATGTTAACCAAGGTAGCCCCTCATAATCCTAAGAACTCACCTTTGCATCTCGGACTTCTTTGCCCAGACTCTTGGAGAAAACATCAGCATATTGCTGTGTTGTTAGTGCTTCTGCACTGAGGCCCACAGCTTTGCCTATAAACTCCTCTGGAGAATTAAAAATGCTAGAAACAACTGCTCCAACATCAGCAACAGAGATACCATCCATTGGTACATCCCCCATGGGCAGTGCTAGATTTTAAAAAAATAAAATAAAATAAAGATAGCTCATTTTATCACTTCCTTCATAGATCCACCAAGACAAATGAACCACCACTTAAACAAAAGGAGTAGAAAGGCAGTTGCCATGTGTCTGTCCCCCAATGGTCCTTGTGTTGGATTCTGTTTCCCAGTGTGGCAATGTTAAGAGGTGGCATTTAAGATGTGGAGCCTAGCCAGAGATCACTGAAGCCAATGCCTTTGGAAGGAATTAAGATCTTTCTTGTGGGACCCCAGGTTAGTTCTCCTAGGGTTGTTATAAAAAGAACGAGACTGAGCAGGACAGTAGCCATGTAAGTCAGAATCACTAAGGAGTGTGTAATAAATAACTCATCTGCTGAATCTACTAGCCCTGAAAATGGATGCTGCTGGGTGGTGGGGAACAAGGCTGGCCCCACTCAGCCCACACTGCAACCTAGTGGTCGCTTAGTAAAAATTAGCTGTTCCTGTAGTGGAGAATGACATTCACGGTACTCAAGGCCTGGTTTTCCAGATTTGTGGGTCCCAGATGGCTCTAGGTACCAAGAGAAAATGAAGGTATCACCTCTTCACCCAGAACTAGTTAATCCATAGATTATAGGCTCTACTGATTCTGTGTAGGGAGGACCTGGGAGGCTGTATCCTGGAGTCTTGGTCCCTTGAGATTCTAATACTGACCATAAAATCCAGGTCCTCCCCTGTTGTCACAAAAGGTCAGATGGATGAGCTAGAAGGGCCCTTAGCAGACATCATGTCCAACTTTCCCATTAGACAGGAGGAATCTGAAGCTTGAAGCCACAGAGCTAACTACTTCCATAAGAAGGGTCAGCATGCTAAGACAACCCTTTCTGCTTCTGGTCTCAGATCCAGTTCTCTTCCCTCTATAGTGTAACTGCTGCAAGTAAATTTAGGACAATTTGATATCCCTCTTAGTACAGAAGGTGCTTAAATGATGGGTCCACTGACGAGGAGCAGGAAAGTGGGGATAGAGAGAGAGGAAGGCAACCAGGTGTCTGGTTACCTTTCACCGCAGCCTTCCATTTACCTAAGGTGTAGAAATCTCCGTCAGGGGCTTTCGACGGCTTCCAAGTGGTGAGAAAGTTTTCAAAATAAGCTGCCAAGCACACGCTAGTCATGGGATCGCCAATGGACCAGAAATACTCCTCCACCTCTCACTTCCCATCGAAGTGGGGCACCTTCAACTTGCCCCCACTCAGCCGCTCCACGTTCTCCAGGCCACTGTATACCACGTGCTTCAGCCCCAGGTGCTTGGCAGTATCTGCCACCATCTTTCCCTGAGGGAAGATAATAAATCCTTTATGTGGACCACTGTTTCTGCCTATAGACTAAAGGGAAGGTGCTGGGTCTCCTCCACTCCCTCTGTACTTATTGTCTTCACTGTGAAGAGGACATTTCTGCATCAGTTAAAAAGTGAGGGGCCATCAGCATTGGCAAGCAGAGACTCCCCTCCAAGATGCTGAACCCTCAGCCTGCTCCCCCTGGGGCTGCAAGGGCAGGGACCCAGGGCATGGGGGAGTAGAACAGGAAAGAGAGGAGGGCAGCAGAGAAGCGAATGCCAGGGACCCGAATGAAGCTGAGACGCAATAGCCAAGGAACAGTCGCCCTCTTCCTCTGGGCCCTCAGTATCTTTGTGATCAATTTCTACATCTGTATATATTATATTGTGGGAGAACAACCTTGCACGTGACTGAGTCACACTCCCCAGCTGGGTGCTGAGGCGCTCAGTCGCAGAAATGGCAGAGCTTTCCCCACCCTTCCTAGGTCCGAGGGTCGGTGTCTCGTGCATGGGTGTGTCTTGCTACAGCCCCCATGGGTGGAGCTATGCTCACCTGTTCCTTTGTAATATTACCCCTGGCCCTGTTTAGGATAGAATGTTCCATGGAAGTGCCTTGTGTGTGTCCCCTTCTCTTACTGTGCCCGTGGGTGTGGCTTACCTAGATGTCAGTCAACCTGCTGACAGTGGACATCATGAAGATAGACTCAGCTCCCTGAAACCTGACTCCTTGCCTCATTTGAATACCTTCTCCTCAGTAAAAGGGGTCAGCACATGTTCTCTCTATCTCTCTTCCTGTGGACCCTTAAGGTCAGAGGAGCCGTCACAGAGACCTGAAATGAAAAAGGTATATCTGTCTCTTGTGTGGTTATTTCTCGCAGCTCAGTCAGCCCAGTTCAACTGGAGTAACCCCTGAGTGTTTTAGTCGTGAACAGAAACCCAGCATTATATAAATTTTTCTGATAATGGATTATATATGCACATCATTTGGATATTACGGTATGAGAGATGGGCACATACATACACACCAACACAAATGTATTATATTCTCTTCTTTGTTTTTAGTTCCAAAGTACCTTCATATGGCTCTCCCTCCTTCCCCACCCCTTTCTGTTTTCCTTTTCTTCTTTTCACTGTCTCATTTTCCTCATACAGCAGGCAGAGAAGACATAATTTGGTTTAGCAGATAGAAGAAAGCGAAGCAGAGAAATGACTTCTACCTCCAGGTTCCATAGAGAGTGAATACCAGCATTAGAACCCAGAACTCTTAAAATAAACCCCTCCAGATTTTAACACTAAAAGATGTGCTGATATAAATAGATAAAAATAAAAGGCTATCTATAAATATCAATTCAATAGACATTCCTGAAACAGTTCCATCCTGCTCTTAAGCTTTAGAATTGTGCCATATCTGTAAGTGGCTGATACCATCCATCATATTCTTTAAATCTAATCTTCATTTTTCTCCCAAACTCATACATATACATGTTTTAAATTCCCAAATAGTACTGTCATAGGGGGTAGATCTTATAATATAAAAACAGTTTCCTGTGCTCTCACGCTGATTACTGCTCTCTAGAAGTAACTGTTTTAATCCTTTTTAGTTATCTCCTTACTTCTAAAAAACATGTTTATGCCACTAATTGGGTTTTTCCAGTTTGCTATACCCACTAAACTCCTACTAAGATGAGAATTCAGTGCATATCCATGATGCGTTCTCCCTCTCAGTCCTTTTCCACTACCAACATCATACATCTACACAATTCCCTTTATTTCATCATCCCAATAAAAAGTTTCTGGCAGATCAATGTGCCATGCTTACACACAGCTAAGCGGAGCCTTGGGATCATCTCTATCCTTACTATTTCTACACACTCTTTTTCCTGAAGTTACTATTGTGGGATTATTTGCTTGCTAGTCTCTTTTTTACATGCCCATTGCTAATTCATCCCCAATTCTCTGCCTGAAGTGTAAATATGCTCTTTTATACTTTATTCTCCCCGTTTGGCTCTCTGAGTGGAAGTTACGTGGGGAAACTTGCTGTCACCCCACATGCCATCTAGAAACAAATGGTGAGAAGCAGGGAATCAAATGACTGACTGACTATATTAAAGTCACTCTCAAATATATAAGATCTCACCTAGGTGCACATAACATTAATTTCATAATCAAAGACTCCCTGAGCAAGTACCTAAAGTACATGTATTCCATAAATGTCAGAGGGATGTTGTAGAGTGAAGCTTATAATTTTGCCCAGACTGAAGTCCTTCTCCCTGCCAGGGAGGACAGAAATAGGTAGGGAGGGAAAGGGAAAAGGCTCAAAGGGGACAGAAGAAAGAGTTTGGTTCCCACCTGACACACTTCCTTGTCTTTGCTGAAATGCTCCCAGAAGTTGGTCACCATGAAGGCCCCATAGGCTCCTTTTAAGGCAGCTTCCACTGACGCTTTGTCATTCAGGTCACCTTTTACCACCTCAGCGCCAAGCTTCTGGAGCGCTAGGGCATTTGGTCGAGTCACGTCCCTCGTCAGTGCTCTCACTGCAAAATGTTTGCTCTCCAAAAGGGCCTTGGCCACAGAGCCACCCTGAGATCCTGTAGAGTCAGGGGAAGAGGAAACACAGGAAAGATCAGGAAGAATGTTCAGGAATGGTCAGGAAGTTTCATTGCTCAGTGTAGGCTTGCTGTAGAACCTACTTTGGGGACCCACATGATACTTGAGATAACCCCAGTAGTTCCCAACTGAGTATCTTTGTTTCTTTTTAAATATTTTTTTAGTTATAGATGAATGTGATATCTTTATTTTGTTTATTTATTTTTATATGGTGCTGAGGATCGAACCCAGTGCCTCACATGTGCGAGGCAGGCGCTCTGCCGCTGAGCCCCAGCCCCCAACTGAGTTTCTTTGAGCACTTCAGAGGTGCCTTTGCAGAAGCCAAGGGGAGAACAGGATTGGAAAAGGCTTGAGACAACAAGAAGTCCAGGTGAACAGGGTGCTTGCCTCTCTATCCCAGAATCAACAAGGGCAATTATAATATAATTCAGTTATAGATTTTATATGGGGGTTCCTCAGACAATTTTATTTAAAAAAAAAAAAAAAAAGCTTCCTAGTATGCACACTTTTTTTTTTTTTTTTTCGGGAGGACTAGGTATCAAATGCAGGGCCTTGCACATGCTAAGCAAGCTCTTCCACTAAGCTACATGATTAGCTTAGTCTATATTTTGTAAACATTTTGAAAACTTGCACGTTTCTTTTTATCACATTCAAGACCAATCACAATATGATCATATGATCGTCACTTGTCTAGTTGATCTACTCTGGACATGCTTACCGAAAGCCCTCTGATATATGCCAGGTGCTGTGCTGGGTTACTGAGATTCGAGTTTCTCCATCAGATTGGCCAGATCTGTCCTAGATGATTTTTGTGTTTTTAAATCTACATTGACTTTCTCCATCCTGTTTAGTGCCCTGGGAGGTTCATCTTGATAGACTCCATCAATAGGTTCTCTTGACCTCATGTTGGGTTTGAGCAATGGGAAGGGTCAGCAGAAGACCCAAGGGCAAGGTAAAGTTGACCATCTTCATATCACTATTGTCTCAGGTTCTGGTCATCTCTTTTATCCTTTTCTCCCTCCTTCTGTTGCTTACATACTCCTTATTGTTCTCTTCCCTGTAAAACTTTATTAATTTTTTTTGCAATTTCTCTGAATATGTGGCACCTGTTTCTTATGAAATGCCAGTTGATACATGCTTGATAACTCTAAAATAAGGTCTACCATTCATGTGTTCTCCCTTTGCACCAAGAGCTTCAATCAATGAAAGTAGCAAATTGCTCAGTGGTAAGTATGAACAGGTACCATAAAGTTCACCAAATGTGTAAGGAAAGCCTCCACATTAAAGGCAAAACCAAAATAAACAAACTGATAAAAGGAAACAGTGCAAAGCATAGGGGGGAAAAATAAAAATAATTACTATTCTCCAAGGTTGATGAAGATTTTGCATTCCAAACACTACGTCTGCAAAAGGGGGAAAGAATTAGTAGGGAAAAAAAGGCAAAGAGAAAAAGCATTCACAAGATGAAGCTCTGAGGAATTTAAAATATTAGAGCAGAAATAAAATTTCAATAGAAAAAGTCTGGGAACTCTACAAGGATTAGAAGAAACAAGCAAAGAAATAGAAAATAAGAGAGAGAAAATAATTAGAAGATCAAGCCAAGGGAATTCCAAAATGAAATAATAGAGAAAATGGAAGTGTGGAATTTATTTGATAATTATTTGATAATTAATCAGAGATAATATCTCAGAGTCCAAGGAGATGGGCTGAGCTCCCAGATTGAGGGGTCAGTGAGGGCCAAATACAATGACAATGTCCCCATTACAGTGAGATTTCTGGTTCAAATTTTTATTTACTCTTCTATTTCACGGTACTGGAAATTGAACCCAGGGTTTCACACATGCTGGGCAAGTGCTCTACCGCTGACCTACATCACTATCCCTTAATGTGAAATTTCAGAACCCTGGAGATAAAAGGATGTTGATTTCTGGGGAAAGGAAAATCAACTCTAAAACATGGGATAAAAACAGCATCAGATTTCCGGATTTGTTTGTTTTAAACAAGTTTACTGAAACAACAACATGGTTAAATTGAAGGGAAAACTAACTTGGATTCTTTTTTAGAGTAATTTATTCCTACTTAATGACAGATTGTCCTACAAGTAACAGTTACATACAAAAGTTATAAAATTATTCTTGGTTTTACATGAGAAGTAAAAAGAATTAAAATTCTCCAGTAGAACAAGGTATATGAGTAATTTTTATGTTATTAAAACAATAAGAACAAAATAACTTACTGGATTATAAAGATGAGTGCTGAATGATCATGGCACTATGGGCAAAAAGGTATTTTCACAGTACTGATATTTTTCTTTTGTTATCTGCATTTGATGTTGACCAACACATACCACTGGCAAGCCTGGGGACGAAGCTCAGTGATAGAGTGCTTGCCTAGCATTCCCAAGGCCCTGGGTTTCATTTCCAGCACAGTCAACAAACAACCCATACCACTGGCTATTTGGAATACATATATTTTACACACACATGCTGGCAGGTGTGGTGCATGCTTATATCCCAGTGACTCTGGAGGCTGAGGCAGGAAAATCTCAAGTTCAAGGCCAGCCTGGGCAATTTAACAAGACTGGTTTAAAAAAAAATAGACTGGGGATATAGCTCAATGGTAAAGCAACTCTGAGGATTACCCATTAGCAGGCAGGTAATAGGTGCACAATAGGCTTGTGCACATATACCAATCATTCATGTACCAATAGAGGAATGGGGAAGAGGAAAATGAAAGAAGAGAGAATTTTTTACTGGAGTAGTCAGGAGGTGATAGAACCAAATTGCAGTTTTCTAATTAACATCATAAGAACAGAGTTCTGGAGTGTGTGTTTCATGGATCCCTGTCAAATCTGAATCTGATTTGGAATCTGTGGTTCACAATAAGCTTTCTTTAGTTACTTAGTAGATGGAGTGTGCGGTTAATCTTAAACTGCCCCACAAACCTTCTAATGAATTAAATGGTGTTCTCAGTCTTGACTCCTTTCTTGTGTTTTACATGAGCCAATGGTGAGCTCTGGAGATCAGCTCTCAAACCCCAGACCATCAGCAGCGGTGGTGGTGCGGGACTGAGAGAGCAGGAGCCAAAGCAAGGCTATTCAGGGGGGAAAATAAATTTCTATCTAGAATTCTAAGCCTAGACAAAAGATCAATTCTAAAAATTTTATATGAAGACATTTTCAGACACATCCTCAAATTTTTAACTCCCATGCATCTCAAAAAATTTTTTTTAATTGTAGATGGACACAATACCTTTATTTATTTTTATGTGGTGCTGAGGATGGAACCCCGTGCTAGGCAAGCACTCTACCACTAAGCTATAACCCCAGCCCTCCCATGCACTCTGTATAAGGTACGTAAGTTGCCAGAGATTGCCCAAGATGAGAAAGTAAAGCAAGCTGAAGAAACCAAGAAGGCTAGGGGTTTGGCTTGGTGGTAGAGCACTTGCCCATCATGCAGGAGGCTCTGAGTTCAGTTCTCAATACTGAGAAAGAAAAAAAGTATCCAGGAACCAAACTCAGGAGAAAGAAAAAGAGAATTATTAGAATAATGAAGAAAGGAAGACAGGAAGACAGAAAGACCGAAACAGAAAAATGAGCACTTAAGGAAGGAGATCTCCACAGTGTTGCTGGGAGAAACAGAACCAACAGATTAATGATGTGCTTGATCATTTTCAGAGAAATCTTCCAGTTTTAAAGAGATAAGAGAAAAATGGTACATGTAAAGAAAATTAAGCAAATAGAAATAACGGCAATTAATTTAAGAGAAAACAAATTGTGTAAGAAGTAAAGTAGTGTACATTTGGCTCAAGTATGAATAAAAATTAGGGGTTTAACTCAGTGGTAAAATATATATACTTCAGGGGCTGGGGTTGTGGCTCAGTGGTAGAGTGCTCACCTAGCACAAGTGAAGGCCTGGGTTCAATCCTCAGCACCACATAAAAATAAAAAAATAAAGGTATTGTGTCCAGCTACAACTAAAAAATAAATATTATGTAGATTATATAAATATGTAATATTTATACAATCTATATAATATATTATATAGATTATATAAATATTATATATAAATAAATAAATATTATATATAAATAAATATTTTATATATATAATATTTATTTATTTATTTGGTGCTGGGGATTAAACCCAGGGGCACTTTCCCAGCCATTTTATTTTTTATTCTGAGATAGGTTCTTGCTAAGTTGTGGAGGCTGGTCTCAAACTTGAGATTATCCTGCCTCTCAGCCTCCTGAGTAGATAGATTTATAAGCATACGCCACCATGCCTGGCCTATAGTATGTATTTAGTATGCATGAGGCCCTAGGTTCCATCCCTAGCACCAGTAGTAATAATAATAGTCTATGATATATATATATATATATATATATATATATATATATATATATATATACACAAATTGTTATAAACTTTGTGGGCAGGATGGAGAAAAGAAAACATGTGCTTGGAAGCAGAGCTAAAGACAATGGATACAATCTAAAAGTAAAAAATGAATAACAATATTATCAATTTGTATTATTAATTTGAAATATGGAGATGGGACAAATACCAGTATAAACAGAAGAGTCAAATGTGGACAGGGTTAGGGCTGGGTGTGCTGATTTTCTTTGTAAGCTTTGAAGGACTAGTGACTTTTTAAAAACTAAGATTATGCACTTCCATTAATTTTTTTTTGTTGTTGTTTTCTACTTTCTATTTATTTATTTATTTATTTTTGCATTACAATTATTAATACACCATTCTACAATAATTTATCATATCTCTGATTATATATAAGGTATGTTGACACCAAATTCACATCTTCATACATGTAATTTGTATAATGATGAGGGTTTCCTTTCACCATCCATGCTATACCCTTTCTCCCTCCCTTTCCCTCCCACTCCTATTCCCTATCTAGGTAATCTTCCTCCCTTGCTCTCCCTCCCAACCCCATTTTGAGTCATCCCCCTTACATCAGAAAAGACATTCGGCATTTGTTTTTTTGGGATTGGCTAACTTCACTTAGCATAATCTTCTCTAATGCCATCCATTTCCCTGCAAATGCCATGATCTTGTTCTTTTTATTGCTGAGTAATATTCCATTGTGTATAAATGCCTCATTTTTTTATCCATTCATCCACTGCACTTCCATTAAATTTTAATAAAAATATTTGTTAGTTTTCTAGGGCTGCCATAATGGACTGGATGGCATAAATAACAGAAATTTCTCACAGTTCTGAAGGGCAGCAGTCTAAGATCAAGGTTTAATTCCACTTGGTTTCTCCTGAGCCCTATCTCCTTGACTGTCACTGATCCTCACATGGTCTTTTCTTTCCATAAGCATTCCTGATATCTAGGCCCAAATTTTCTCATCTTACAAGAATACCAATCAGACTGGATTAGACTCTACCCTAATGGTTTCACTTTATTATCTCTTTAAGCGTTCTTTTCTCCAAATGCAGTCACATTCTGAAGTATTGGGGGTTAGGATTCCATCATATGAATTTGGAGGGAAAGAATGGCACAAATCAGCTCATAACATTGACCAGTATAATTATTTCCTTACATCCCTCCTAGTAAACCAGGCTATCCTTTATGATAAAAACTGTTTATTCTTTTTTAAAAAAATATTTTTTAGTTGTTGATGGACATAATGCCTTTATTTTTATGTGGTGCTGAGGATAGAACCCAGTGCCTTACCACTGCTAGATAAACACTCTACCACTGAGCCACAACCCCAGCCCCAAAACTGTTCATTCTTTATCCCTGCTTCCCAGCTAAGTGCTGAGACTGGTCCATCATAAGGTCTCAATACTACTCACTAAATGAATGAATCTAGTGGAAAGATTGAAACCTCTGTCCTCTCAATGCTCAGCTTTGGTGGTGAGCAATCCTATCTGGACCAGCATGAGATGGAGAAGCCAATAAGATAGACCAAGAGGTAAAAATAAGAAGAGCTGGAGCAAGGCTCTCCTAACCACTCATACCTTCATGTTTCAATAAGCAAAATGTGAGAGAAATTCATCTACTTTACCCCATTCTCTAACCCAACAGAATATACCAATAAGATTGTTGGTCTGAAAAAGCTGCCTCCACAGTACAAATGCATGTCAGACAAAATTGTCCCATGTCCCACTTGCTTGTTTTGGATTGTGGCCTGTTGAATCCAGTTCCTTCCCAGATGATTTCATGTTGAGAGTAGCATTTGGCTGGCAGGCACTAGAGATACTGCTAAGAGTGTGATGTTCAAGTGCATACGCTATAGGTTTAACACCTATGCTGAGTATGGTAAGAATGTTCCACATCTGCAAAATGGGGAGCTTCCAGATAGTTGAGTTCAAACATATATCCCTTACTTTGGCAGAAAGTATCTGAGATGGCCAGGTATGGTGACATATGCCTGTAATCACAGCCACTCAAGATGCTGAGGCAGGAGGATCATAAGTTTGAGGCCAGCCTTGGCAACTTAGTGAGGCCTTGTCTCAAAATTAAAAAAAAAAAAAAAAATTTAAAAAGGACGACTTGGGTTGTAACTCAGAGGCAGAGTGCCCCTGAATACAATCCCAGTACCATCACCAAAAAAAAAGAAAGAAAAGAAAGGAAAAGAAAAAGAAAAAGAAAGAAAAGAAAAAGAAAAAGAAAAAGTAAGTGATTGAGATGAGAGCCCAGGTAAGGGAGAGCAGGCCCTTCAGGTTCCCCAGCTTCCCTAGCCTGTGCAGTATCCTTGCATCTCTGATATCACTACCTCCTTTTGAAAGAGGACTTTTCTTTCATTTATTTTTAAATTTTTTTATAGTTGTAGATGGAAAGCATGCCTTTATTTTACTTGTTTATTTTTATGTGGTGCTGAGGATTGAACCCAGTGCCTCACACATGTGAGGCAAGCACTCTGCCATTGAGCTACAGCCCCGTCCCTCATTTATTTATTATTTTTTTCTTTTTTTTTTTTTTTTTTTTTTTGGTGTCTCCTTTCTATTTTTTTTTTTTTTTTTTTATTTATTATTTTTTTCTTTTGCACAAGTCCCAAGGTCTGGAGTAGAGGCTTTATGTGCATTAAATGGGTACTTCAACTTTTTCCATTAAATGTCATTTCCATTTGATCTTCAGAAACCACATAAAGATATTATTTTTCAAATACATGTTTTAGAGATGGATAGATCCTAAGTTTGTTTTGGTTTTGAGTTCTTAGCAAATAATGGGCATTGGACAGATCACTTAACATACTTCATCTCAATTCTCACAGTGAGCCTTTAAGACAGAATTACAATTTCTGCTCAGTGTGCTGAGGCACATATGTAATCCCAGAGACTTGGGAGGCTGAAGCAAGAGAATCTCAAGTTTGAGACCAGCCTCAGCAACTTAGTGAGGTCCTAAGCAACTTAGCAAGACCCTGTCTCAAAATTTAAAATTTTTAAAAGGGTTGGGATTGTAGCTCAATGATAAAGCACCCCTGGATTCAATCCCCATTAACCAACAACAACAAAAAAAACTGTATGACAATTTCCAATTTATAAATAGAAAGTTAAGGTTCAGAGAAATTAAGTAACTTGCCTAAGGTAACGTATAAACTAAGTGGTGGAAAAGATAAAACCACTGGGGTTTGACTGGAAGGCTTTTACCAACTGCATGACCTTAGATACGTTTATCCTTATCCATAAGGTGAGGCCAGTAATTCCCATGGGGAGTTTTTATTAGTGAAATAAGTGTAGCTCAGGGCCTGGTACCTTGAAGGAATGCTTTTTATCACAGCTTGGCCCATAGGTTTGGGTAGAGCCCTTGATTAGGAACAAGTATAGAACAGACTTCCTAAATCTGCACCAAAGCTTTGGGAGTTCCTAATCTTCTAGAAACCAGCAACAGCAGCCGCCACTGCGCCTGAACCTAGCCACTCTCAAGTCTGGCACAGAAAGGCTTGACACTAGGGTTAGCAGATAAAATGCAGAACACTCAGTTAAATTTGAATTTCAAATCAACAGTAAAGAAATTCAGTGTATGTCTCATGCAATATTTGGATATTCTTTATAAAAAAAATTGATTCATTGTTTATCTAAAATTCAAGCTTGACTGGGCATCTTATGTTTTTTATCTGCAAAATCTAGCAATCTCAAATATATAAACACACCCAGAGTCCAGAATTTACAACTAAGGACAAGAACTGGGTTAGAAGGTAAGCAGCCCATTCCTTCACTAACTAGGAATCAAACTTCAATTCTGATACATCTAACCTGATTCCTTTAGTAGCTAAAGCCAAGGACCTTAGCCAACTGCTTGTGCAAACAAGCCTGTTTGAACAAGTTTAAGGACACTAAAACTGAGCTGCTGGATTTCCTTGAAATGCACCTCCCCGCTGTCTTCCACACTTAAGTAAATCTCAGTTTTCTTCTTCTAGTTGCTCAAGCCAGAAAACTTTGAAGATATCCTCCATTCCTCTTTTCTTACTCTTGACATTTGGTATATCCAAACCTGTCCAGATTCTAACCACTCCCCACTACCCCATGACTGCTTGTGTTCTAAGCCACTGTCATCTTGCCTGGTTTATGAGAACAACCTCCTAGCAGGTCTCTCTGCTCCTGCATTTGCTCCCTATAGTCTCTTCACAAAACAGAAGCTCAAATGATCCTTTCAATACTGAACTCATGTCATTACTCTGCTCAGAATTCAATGGTTTCTCTTTCAAGGAAGATGGAAATCTTTGCCATCACTGGAAAGTCTAATACAGTTATTCTCCCAACTTCTTGCCTTTTTTTTTTTTTTTTTTTTTTAGTTGCAGTAGGACACAATACCTTCATTTTATTTATTTTTATATGGTACTGAGGATCAAACTCAGAGCCTCACAGTGCTAGGCAAGTGCTCTACAGCTGAGTCACAACCCCAACCCCTTGACTTTTGTTCTTTTCCTTTTAACATCAATAACTTGCCTGACTGCTGGGGCTTTTTTGTTAGTTTTCTTTATCTCTCTCTCTCTCTCTCTCTCTCTCTCTCTCTCTCTCTCTCTTTTAAATAACTGTGGCTTCAAGGGGCTGGGGATATAGCTCAGTTGCTAGAGTGCTTGCTTCGCATGCACAAGGCCCTGGGTTCAATCCCCAGCACCACAAAACAAACAAACAACAACAACAAAAACAAAAAAACAAACAAACAAACAAAAAAAGCTGTGGCTTCCACAAAGTTGGTGTTTTAAAATTTTATTTGTTTTTTGGACCTTTATTTTGTTTATTTATGTACAGTGCCAAGAATAGAACCCAGTGTCTCACTCATGCTAGGTAAGCATTCTACCACTGAGCTTCAACCCCAGCCCACTATGTGTCTGTTTTTTGAGACAGGTTTTGCTAAGCTGCTGAAGCTGGCCTTGAACTTGAAATCCTCCTGCTTGGCCTCCCATGTAGCTGAGATTACTGGTGTTTGCCAGTGGGCCCCCACCCTGGCTGTTGGTTTTGAGGACCTATTTCACCTTTCTCTCTGCTTTAGTGCTTGCCCTCCTCCAGACAAAAATCTCTGTCCACATTGAACTTGTTTACTAATGTGGAGAGGCAGATAGTAATAGAATAAATCATGCAGGGAAGGGAACCAGATGGTGACCAGATGGGAATAGGATTGCAACTTTTAAAATGAAAGTCTGGAAACTCCTCACAGTGACATCTTTTATTCCTCTCTGTGGAACTGAGAATTGAACCCAAGGGGGGGCCTAACCCTGAGCTAGATCCCCAGCTCTAAGTTTCCAAGGCTGGCCTCAAACTTGTGATCCTCCTGCCTCAGTCTCTGAGTCACTGGCGTGTGCCACTGCACCTGGCCCCAGAAAGTGACATTGATAGGGCTTTGAATGATGGGAGGAAAAAAACAGTATGGGTACCTGGGAAAGATCATCCTCAGTGAGGGAGCAGCCAGCACAAAGGCTCTGCGGTGGGAACACCTTGAGGAACAGCAAGAAAACCAGAGTAACTGGAGCAGAAGGAGGAGGATAGAGGAATAGGCGGCCCACTGATGTGGGTATTGCATGCCATTAGCAGGAATGCATTTTCCTTGGAGAGAGGCAGCAGGTGATGGGAGATTTTTGAGCAGGGACAGGACATGCATTATCCAAGGATTTTGAATGGATCATCAGGAGGCTAAAATGAGAATAGAAGGGGAATTATCTGGTTTGATTAACATTTTTGCAAAGATGACTCCATTAGGGAACAGACTTTAAGGGAGACCAGAATAGGATTAGGGAGGCTAATTCAATATCTTCCCAGGTGAGAGAGGTCCCTCATGTATGCAACAGGGTTCCACTTTATGCTTTGAATACAAACCTTGCCACTTGATCTTAGGTGACTTATTTTAAAACTGAATTTTTTTTTTTTTTTTTTTTTTTTTTTGGTGCTGAGGATTGGACCCTGGTCCTTGCACATGCCAGGTAAGTACTCTACCACTGAGCTCATCCCTAGCCCTGATATAATTTTTTTTCTTCTTCTTCTTCACCCTCTCTTCCTCCCTAAATGTAGGGGAAACAAAACTAACATTTTTCCTGTCCCAAAAAAGCTACCATGTCCTTTACTACCCAGAAGAACACCACTGCCCACAATAGTAAAGAAATGCTAGGCCTGGAAGCTAGAGGAATGGCTCTCTCAAGGACACCCGATGGACTCTAATTAATTATATGTACTGATAATATTTGAATCCCAGCCCTTGTATCCCTCTTTTAAAAGCCCTGCATTCCCCTTGGCAGAGAGAATCACAGCCTCTGGGACAGGAGTCCCATGTTTCTCCTCTGCTTGCAAATCAATAAAACTTTTTGCTTTTTCTCAAATCCTTGTCCTCATTATTGGGTAGGCAACGAAGATAAGAACTGAGCTTTCTGGCATCAAGCTTCTGGCATGCTCCCAACCCCTCTACCCTTTCAGAACCCATGGAGTATTGGTCTACACACCCACAGGCCTCTCACACTTGCTCTTGCCATTTATCAGGAATTGAGTGGAGAAAGAATTCCAGAGGATAGCCCCAGATGGAGAAGATGTCATTTGTCATCTGGAGACTATATCAGTTGCCATTGTCCCACAGAAGTCATGCTTTACAAATCAAGTTAAATCAATCTGCCCCCTCCCACATCAAAAACACAAAACAAGGAGCAATGCCCTAGGTTCAATCCCCAGTTACACACACACACACACACACACACACACAACAGCACAAGCAATAGGATGTCTTTCTTAATTTTCTCCAAAGGCTCATTGTTCAGCCCACACTTACAGGCTCTGAAGTTAAAATCAGAGAGATTGAGCAAAATCAGCATGCACTTAAACAGAAGAACTTTTTCTTTACCTGTTGCTCCGAACACTGCAATTACTTTCCTGTTGGCCATGTTCCTGGGCAAAGAAAAGAACTGATGGAGTAGCAGAGCTTTCTTCTGGAGCACACACACTTTTGTTCCTTGTGTGAGAATTTAGACCACAGCTAATTGCCACACCCCTTCTGTTGCTCCTCCTTTTCCTGTTACACCCCACTCTGACACTGCAATTTTTTCTAAGCCCCTATCTTTTCAATTAGAGCACATTGGTTTTGTATACTAATGAGGTTTCCTTGCGTGAAAGTTTTATACACCATGACCACACCCCTTATGCTGCCCCTCCCTGTCCTTGTTAACCCACTGACTTACTCACTCTGACGCTGCAATTTTTTCCAACCCTCTATTTTTTTAATTAGAGTACATTAGTTTTGCACACTAATAGGGAATGTTTGCGTGAGAATTACACACTACATTTGATTACCACACCCCATATGCTGCCCCCTCCTTGGAACGGTTTTCCATGTTACATCAACTCATTTACTCATTGTGATGCTGCAGTTTTCCAAATGAAGATTGATTCCTTCACTCACTCATTCATTAAGCAAAAGTGTAATAAGTGTTTTTGAAACATGAGCCATTGAATTAGAAATCCCCAGAATCCAGATGTTATAAAGAGGCTAAACCCATAAATAAATAAACTTATAGTACAGAGGAATGGCAGAGGACACCTGAGGGAATCTAGTCATGGAGGAGCGACACAAAACCCAGACCAGGGGGCTGGGGATATAGCTCAGTTGGTAGAGTGCTTGCCTAGCATGCACAAGACCCTGGGTTCAATCCCCAGCACCACAAAAAAAAAAAAAAAAGAGACCAGGTATGTTAGGTGTTAGGAAAGTGGTGCAGGACTAAATCACTTGAACACACCAAAGCTAAGCGGAAGCAAGTTTATTGTCAGGAAATCTGACAAGGCTGTATCTGCGCAGAGAGAACAGCAACAGACTTCCTCTGAAGTAAACTTTTATAAATCAGAGCCGGGGTTATGCATTGGGGGTGGGCTTAGCCCTTGCTATTTATTGCAGGTGGAGAACAAGCTTCAAAACTTCAAGAACCACAAAGGGGAGGGGGCAGGAGGAGCGAATACATTGCCATTAGCTTCTGGAACTGGCAGGCCCCTGTAGTACTGAGAAAGTCTGTGAGCACGGTGGTCAGGGTGCAGATGGGTAAAGGTGCCAGCCTCTGGGTGGGTGGGTTCTTACAGGAGGGGGAAGGAAGGGGAAGCAGAGAAAGGTGTCTGGGCAGAAATGGGGTCAGCTTGACTTAACTTCTAAATTAATGCATAATTATGTTAACAGGCTAACATTAGGAAAGGTTTTTCAGATGAGATAATACAACAGCTGGCCTGAAGACCCCAGGAGTTATTCAGCTCAAAGGCACGTTGATCATGCTACAAGACTCCTGAGGCTATGGCAAGGTTATGTGAGCAACAGAATCAAACCTGGGAAGGATGACAGAGGCCACAACAAAAAGGGCTTAGGCACGACAAGGGACTTGGTTTAAACCAATGCCACAGCAGGTTTTATGTGATCTTCTGGCAGCAGGGAGTGACTGGGTTAAAACAAGACAATGCTGGAAGCAGGGACATGCCTAAGAAGATACAGCAATGACATTTGTGAGAAATTTAAAGGCCTGAACAGAGGTGATGTGACGGGTTCAATTGTGTTTCCCAAGAAAACTCATCTTGAAGTCCTAGCCCCCAGTTCCTCAGAATGAGACCTCATTTGGAGATAGGGTCATTACAGAGGTAATCAAGTTAAGGTAAGGCTGTTATAATGCTTCCCAATCCAATCCACTATATTTGTTTTTAGTTGTAGTTGGACACAATACCTTTATTTATTTATTTTTATGTGGTGCTGAGGATGGAACCCAGAGCCTCGCACTACTAGGCAAGCTCTCTACCGCTGAGCCACAACCCCAGACCACAATAGGTGTCTTAAAAAAAAAAAAAAAAAAGGGCAGAAATTTGCACACTGACAACTAGAGGGAAGACAATGTGAAGATCCAGAGAGGACAGCATATGAACATGAAGATGGCCATTTATAAGCCAAGAAGAACATATCCTTCGCTCACGGCCTCAGAAAGAACCAACCCTGCCATCACCTTGATAACTGGTCATCTGGCCTCCAGAATTGTGAGATACCAAATTCCTGTTGTTCAATCTACCCACTTTCTAGAGGTAGTTTGTTATGGCAACCTTCACAATCAAATACAGCCAGCAACAGTGGGGATGAAGTTAAAGATATTTCAGTAGCACATTAAGAAGATCTTTGTGATTTATTGGATGTAGGCCCAGGGACAGTAAAGAAGAGAAAGTACTAAAAATATGATTCTGGCCAGGTAAAATGGTGCAGGTCTGTAATTTCAGCTACTCTGGGGGCTAAGGCAGGAGTATCACAAGTTCAAGATCAGCCTCAGCAACTTAGCAAGACCCTGTTTCAAAATAAAACAAAAGGGGCTGGGGATGTGGCTCAAGTGATAGCGCGCTTGCCTGTCATGCGTGCGGCCCAGGTTCGATCCTCAGCACCACATAAAAACAAAGATGTTGTGTCCGCCAAAAAAACTAAAAAATAAATATTAAAGTTATTTAAAAAATAAATAAATAAATAAAACAAAAGGACTGGGAATGTAGTTCAATGGTAGAGCACTTTCCTAGCATATGTGAAGTCCTGGGTTAAAAACAAAAATAGAGTAAAGGAATATCTACTACATAACTTAATTAATACAAAACTCGAAAGCAGGAAAAACTAATCTATGGCAATCAACATTACTATAGTGGTTACTTTGGTGGGTAGTGATTGGAGGAGTTATTTTATTTTTTACACCCAAAGAAATTCCTTATTGTTAACAAAATATAAAGTACAACAAAAGAAATACTGTGCAATTTGTAAGAAGGATTTTTTTTTTTTTTAGTCAGAAGTAAATTTTGTGTGTGTGTGTGTGTGTGTGTGGTTAAGGCCTTGTGCATTTGAGGCAAGCACTCTACCAACTGAGCTATATCCTCAGTCCAAGCCAGAAGTAAACTGTTTTTAATTGGAGGAATTTAAAGAGGGCTTCTGAGGAGCTGATGATGTTCTAGTTCTTGATCTGATCTTTCTTTTTTCTTATTTATTTGATACCTGGGTTTGAACCCAGGGGCACTTTACCACTGAGTAACATCTCCTTTCTTTTATTTTATTTTTATAATTTTTTTTATTTATTTTATTTTATTTTTTATTTTTCAAGAAGAATCTTTTGAAATTACTGAGGCTGGCCTCAAACTTGCAATCCTCCTGCATTTAGCTTCCTGAGTCACTGGAATTACAGACCTGCACCACTGCCCCCCCCCCCCCCCTTGACCTGGTCTTGATTGCAGGTGTGAGTGATTTTTTAAAAATGTATCAAGCTCTACAGTTAGTATGTGTCGCTATTTCTTTATATGTATCTTAAACATATATAAAATGTTTAAAGATAAATTTTAAGGAAAAAATTAAAAGTGTAAGTGACTGAATCTATAAAGGAAAAATGGGCAGGCACCAGCCTGCAAATATTTATATTGGGTGGAAGCAAAAGGCTGTGACTTTATTTTAACTAGTTTAATCCCTACAGGAAAAGTAGCAACCCATTTAGAATATTGTTTGTTTGCCTAACACTGTGAAGTCCTGAGTTTCATCCCTAGTACTATAGAAAAACAAAAAACAGGAACCCAAAACAATAAAAAACCTATGGGTTCACAGAGAACTGTTAATGTTGACTTTTTTTTTTTTTAGTTGGAAGAGAAGACATCTTAGGCTAATGTCAAACCACTTTTTTAAGGTCCCTTTGATAAAAGGAGTCTGTTTTTTGGGTCCACGTAGTGAAGAGAATGAGCAGGATTTTTAGCTCCCCACATCCCATTGTATGATCTTTCCTCTTATTTGTGGGTGTATTTGGCTCAACCCAATCCATTCTTCCATTTTCCACTAGAAATCTAACAAACTGTAGAACATAATGATTCAAGCTTGGGATGCAGCTCAGAGGCAGAACTTGCCTAGGATGTGGAAGGCCCTGGGTTTGAGTCCCAACACCAAAAAAAAAAAAAAAAATCTGAAATAACACAGTCCTGGGTTTAACACCCACATCTGCCACTTTTTAGGCAAAACCTTGGGCAAATTTTAAAATTCCTCCAAGCTTCTGTTTCCTTACCTATAAAATGGGAGTAATAATAGTATCTACCTCATATAGTTATAGAAAGGATTAAATAATTTAGTTTTTATGGAACATTTAGAAGAAATTAACAGTTGTTATTTTCAATGCTTTTTTTTTAACTACCAACCTTGTTTCTTCTCCTAACCAGCCTCTCACACTTTTTCTCCCACTCCACTAAACTAATAGGTACTCAGAGAAAAGCGATTGGTTTAGTTTAAAAAAAAAAGAAGAAGAAGAAGAAAGAAAGAAAGAAAGAAAGAAGAGAATGACTCAGCCAGGGGAGGAGACACAGCAGACTCCAATGGTAAAGGAAGGGATCTGGGGCTATCCAGACTAGGTATTCACACGCTCTCACCCTACACTGCAATCACCCTTACAGGATGAATATCACCTTGGCTCTACCTTTTGATTCAGGTCTCAATAGCAACATCCAAGAAATCAGAGAAACATTGAGATCTGGAGAGGCTGTCCTGCAGAACTGAGAGAGAGCAAGTGAGTCACTCACCTTGTAGCACAATTTAAAGGATGACCAAGAACTCAATCATCAAGATTAAAAAAATTAATTTTTTAATTTACTTATTTATTTATTGCAGTACTAGGGGTTGAACCCAGAGGTGCTCTACCATTAAACTACAGTTTATTTGAGGGCTCATGGTTTCAGAGGTCTTAGTCCAGTTCTTTTCTTTTTTTTAAAAATTTTGACGTGGAGTCTTCCTAAATTGCTAAGACTGACCTCAAAGTTGTAATCCTCCTGCTTCAGTCTCCTGAGTAGCTGGAACTACATGTGTGTGCCACCACAGCCAGCAAGACAAATATTTTAATGCATTATTCTAAAAAATAAAAATTAATGCTCAAATATCCATGATGAAATGTATCTTGCTGGGCATTGTGGCATACAACTG